CAAAATTATGGAAGTGTATAATGCAATCTTAATTAACTAATTTAAAATTTTTTATAACTATAATATTGATAAAGTATCTATTAATTTTGATGATGATTAATTTATGTCAAAGAATTAGACTAATAATATTAAATGAAAATTTTCTTTTAATTATATTTTTTAAGTACACAAAACTTGAATTTAAAACTTTGTTTAAAAGAATCGACTTCACTACCATTCGATAAAGAATTTATTAATATCCTATGAGAAATAATTTATTAATAGTCATTTAGAGTTTGGACCACTGCTTATTATAATTAGTTCAGTTCTCTCTCTCTAAAACTTGATTTAATTAATTTATGAAGAAATAAGCAGCTAGAGTGTGAAGAAGGAAGGTGAATGTGAGCAGCTAGTAGTGCATATAGCTTTAAATAAAGTAATTTGTGAAGTCCCATAGTCACGTGGGGGTATGCCTTTGGTTTGGCATCTTGTTTCTGCTAACATGTGTGGCACAATATCTTCCGACACAAATGATGTGCCACCTTAAAAATACATTAACGTGTCCTAAACAACAACACACCAATACCTAGTTTCATTTCAAGTTTTTTTTTTAACCCTTCAAAATTGTTAAAATCTCTTGTGCATTTAAACTTTTCAATATGTATACACTAGTATTATAATGCACGAGCACACTCATTCTCAATCATTATTTTTACCCACCATTTGTATCTTTAATTATTGTCATATTTTTTTTTCTTATAGACATGATTTACACAACATTACAAAACTGATAAATAAAAATCATTTATATTTACATAATGTAATTTTTATTCGGTAACATTTGAAGATATTATATATATAATTATGGTACGATAAAGTGAAAATACGTTGACATTTAGTTATATCTAATGTTCTTGCATCTAAATATACATGTCCTTGATGAATTGGATTGGCATGGGATGATATGATTATCTTTAGGAGGTGGAGTGGAGGGCACGGGTCTTGGGAGTTTTTGTCAACCACAAGAAAGCTAAGAGAACAAACATGGTAGAGATAATTGGCATCAAAAGTAAAAGGTTAGAAGAAAGAGAGTCTCATGAAATAAAAGGCTAGAGTATATTTCAGAAAGGCAAAGGGACCCTAAGATGATGAATGATATGAATGACTGAATAAGGGTATCATTAATAATATATAAAGGTAAAGAAATTAAACCAACGAAAAGGGAGCCATGTGGATATTGGAGAAGTTGATGTTTCCTCATCAAAGTGGGGTGAAACTGAAAAGAAAAAAAAAAAAGAAAGAAAGAAAGAAGGAAAGCCTTGGATTCTACGTTTCTCAAAGAGTGAGGGATCCATTCCATGTTATGGGACATGCAAATGTTCAATATAGATATCATGTACCATGATACCAATGGCTAAGGTTCAACCACATAAGTGTTCACAAAAAGTTGTTACACTAAATCTATAACATGAAGTCAATTTATTCGAAAATTGTGTTATTAACTAAGAATCGAGATTCAGTTTTTGAATTAAACATGAAATCACAATTAAAACTATCCCTTTAATCTTATAAGAATTGACTCGAAACATAAAAAAGTTATATCTTCTTATTTTAAAAAAAAAATATTATCAATAACAAGAAAAAAAAAAATGTTGAATGTTGGTCACTCCCTCTCCCATGTGCCACCTAATTATGCCCATTTGTTAGGCTGTCGCTCTCATGTTTATATATATAATATAATAATGTCTATACCCTCTTTCGTACCTTTTTGTTTTATTTCTCGACGCAAAACTCGCTTATATTTTCCTTCTTTACCTTAAATAGATTCTGAGGAAAGAAGCATGTTTCATCTCGCTTATGTTTAGTTTAACTTGTTTTAGAAAAATAATTACTTACTTCATCACTTTTCTTTTTGGAGAGGTTTATTAAAAATACTATTTAGTAACCCAATTTTAAATTAGGCAAATTTATTTCTCCAAATCAGATTAATGATCTCTCACATAAATAGTGTGGGATATCCTAATAATGACCAAAAATAAAAAAGAAACTTTTTGATTAGGATCTCCCTCTCTAGTGTAGTGTTTTAGTAATCTCGTAGGTGAATACGATCATAAAAATTGAGGTGGATATGGATAGAGAATACTATTGACACTCTTATTTTACTATTTTAACCACCCGTCTCTCAAAAAGCTTAATATTTGACAAAAATAACACTGACTTTTCATACCCAACCGTAACGTTATTTTCGTTGTGTATCTAGTTTTATTATTGTGTCATTTTTATTAAAGAATAAGTTAAATATGCAATAAATTTTGGATGCCAAACACGTTTCAGAATTAATTGTCAGTTATTTGTTTTATTGTGTATAAAGAACATGTATATTTGGTTAAAGTCATAAGATTACGATGAATAACAAAGTGCTCCCTCATAAAGTCATAATGCATATACATTAAACTATTTTTTTTTTTGTACTTTTTACAGTGTCTTCGAATTTAATATTGTTACTTTTTTTCTTTGGTGACAAAATGAATCAACGACAAGGAAAAAAATACAAGACAAAATAAATACGTAAATAAAAAAATTAATTAATGCAAATTTTTAGCAAGAAAAAGTGACAATAAAAAAAATAGAAAAAGGAAAAATAGATCAAATAATATTAGATTATATTTAGGTTACTAATTGTTATTGATTTAAATGATTAAAATATATAAATTGATAATCCATTATTAGGAGCTATTTATTTTGAATTTAATTTTTTTATTCTTTACATGCCCAAAAAGACTTAGGTCTAATCATCATAAGATAAATAATAGAATTCGAATTAATTTATAAAATGGGCTAAGCCCAAGAGCATGAATAAGACAAGAAAAAAAAAACAGTTGAAGATAGTGGACCGATGCCCACCATCCAACCTAAAAGAAAGTTAAGGGTTCATGATATATATACCTCCTTTTTTCTATAAGTAAATCTCCTTTTAAAAAAAATTATTAAAATTTTAAAATATTCTTAATTTTTTGTTTTAATTTTTTTAATTTTACATCCACAACATTTAATTTAGTATTTTTTTTCACATATCTTTCCTTTTTTTTTTAATTTTTACATGCACCCCTTATTTTTCCTTCACCCCACCTATTTTGGTAACATATGAAAATTGAAAGAGAAAAAAAAAGCGTGTGAATAAGAAAAAGAAAGTAGCAAATTGAAAGTTAAAAGTGTAAAATTATAATTTTTAAAAAAAATTATAATATTTTATAATTTTTAAAAAAAATTATAATATTTTATAATTTTTTTTAAGAAGGAGGTATACTTGTAAAAAAAAGGAGATGTATATATCATGAGGCAAAGATAAGAGGAATAAAACTTGGGCCGAGCCCATGGTGCTACCTCAACAAATTAATATTCAGAATGCATTTTTGGATAATTTTTATGTTCTTAAATTTATTTTCTAAAATATATTTACTACATTCTAGAAAGTAATTTCTATGAGCATTAAAAGTTAAAAAAATTTCAACTAATTATCAATTACAATATCACGAGTATTGAGATTTGTTCTTTGTTTTTTTTCGTGTGTTGTCCTTTGTTCATAGCATGTTATTGTGAGAACTATGAACAACTTCAATCTTCTCTGACCAAGTTTCTCTCCAGCTACTATCATGAAAAATCTCAACTGATTGCTTATTGCAATAGCTATTACTTCTTTTTTTCAGTAAGAGAAGAAAGACACTTTATATTTCTGTATATTTATATATTTGTTTTTGAGGGATGAATAGAAAATGAAAAAAAAAAAAAAACTGAACAGATGGAAATTGCCTCGACTCTTTTGTGGGAAGGAGAAAATGTATATGACAGGAAGAGAATATGCGAATTTTTTTTCTCAAATAATATATTTTTTTTAAATTACTAAAAAAACATCTATTACACATTATTTACCCAAATAGACCTCTTTACTGTTCACACTCAGAATTCGGTTCCCGAAAAACCGAATTCTGAACAGTGTTATTTTTTATTTTTTAAAAATAATTTTTTTAAAAGATATTATTTGAGAAAAAAATTCGAGAATGTGCAGCAGCTAAAAGATATATAAAAGGGTTATAATAATACCAGTAACTTTTATTAAGTATTACACCACTTAATAACTTTATATTAAATGTGAATTTTGTAAATTCAACCATTAGATCAAAAGTTCATATCACTTTATATATTTATATTAAATTTTGTTAAAATTGAACAACAACTTGAAGGTAATCAAAGTATTCATATTTAAGTATATTTTGAAATAAATATATTACATAAATTTTTTTTTATAAGAATGAAATATCAAATCATCTTGGATTAATATAAAATTATATATATATATATGATATAAGAGTAAAGAATTTTTAATTTTACAGTCAGATTTACAAAATTCACATTTAATATAAAATTATTAAGCAGTATAATATTTAGTAAGAGTTATACTGATATTATTATAACCCTCCCCGTATTTAAAATTATTTATTCCGAAAACTTAGTTCTAAATATTCAAAATGTATTATGAAAATAAGTTTTCAAAAGGAATCCAAAATTAAGTTTCGAAAAGTTATTTTTCAAATGTTCAAGGAAATTTTTTTTGTAAGGTAAAAATATTTGAGATCAGAATTTAATTCATTTAATTCATAAATCAAGTTTAATGAACTAATTATTAAATTAAATTTTAAATTATTTTTGAGTTAGTTCATTTCATTACCACTCCTACCAAAAAGTACATGAACATTAAACTTCAAAAATAAAACATTAGATCTGTACTTATTTTTATTGAACATGCAGAAAAAAAAACAACGATGGACTTTTTGTAGTCCCAACATGAGTTGTTGGATCATGGGCTTTCCAAAATGATGGGCTTTTTGGGGTGATGAGATTTGACAAGCCGAGTTGAGTTCCGCTAAGGAATTGAAATGCATGGTGACATGATAATGGAGCCACGTGGAAGATGGGACAATGACTATGTGGTCGTTACCGCCACTAGTTTAGGTGTGGATGATGTCCACACCTATTGTTGGGACTTTCATTGCCTCATTTCTCATTCTTTTTCAGTTGAGTTCTCAAACCAGAAAAGTGGTCAAAAAAATTGAAGTGAAGGGAGTGAGAGATGACACTATCTCCTTCTCTTTCTCTCCATAACTTGCATTCTTCCTTTCTTTGTTGCCCTCTAAAATCCAAGCCATTAGCTAGAAATATAATTCAACCAAAACCCACTTCTTATCCACGTATTAGAGCTCTAGACCTTGATCAAAACACGGTTCTTCCTTCTATTTCAATTCTTCTTTAGTTATTTATTTGTATAACTTAAGAAACATAATGTTCCTTGTTTTTCTTTTTGATCAGATTGAATTGTTACATTATACATGTTTGTTTTTAATTTCAGGTAGTGGCTATAAGTGTTGGAGTTGTGAGTGTGGCTGTTGGGATTGGCATTCCAGTGTTCTATGAAACCCAAATCGATAATGCTGTATGAAGTGTTTTTACTTTACACTATACCATTTAATTTTAGCTTGTTTATTTATCATCTAATATTTTGGTATTTGTAGTTGGGTTTTGATTACAGCTTCTCTTTGTTGCAGGCTAAGCGAGACAACACGCAGCCCTGCTTCCCGTGCAATGGATCTGGTGCTCGTAAGTATAACTTTTAGTGTTCTTTTTCATCATACTTCAAACTTGTTGCTTGGACTCTAGGGAAAATTTTCTATGTAGAGCATTATTAAAGTATGCCACAAATTGTAATTGCAATGCTGAATAAGGACTAAGTAACTTAATTGTTTATAGTCATTAAGTTCTTATATACAAGACTTTGGGTCTATTTGGGTAAACTTTTCCCGAAACATTTTTAGGAGAGCAAAATAGAAAAAAATAAGTGAAATAAGCTTCTCCATAAACTAAAGTTAACTTATGAATGAACTATTTTGTAGAAACTACTTCCTATTTAACTTCTGCAAAATCTTATTTTAATTTATGAATAAGTTAGTTTTAGATGAAAAACTTATTTTAATTTTTCTTCCTATTTTTCTCCTTTAGACTTATGGAGAAGTTTATCCAAACAAAGCCTTTCTATCAAAATTTTGTCTGTGTAACTTACTAAAAAGAGCTTATAGGAGTCATATGCTAACAAGTATAATCACATTTGTTCTTTCCCCTCAATTCCAAAAATAATATAATAGGATGTGATGCTTATGAGGATGTCAAATTGAATTTGCTTAACTTGTGCCAGACATTAGGTTGTAAATCTAATCAGCTCAACTCCACATAGTGAAAGTAAACTTGGTTATGCAGTTGCAGTCTAGGGTAATAGACTAATTGTTATCTTTTCGAGATATATTCCTTCTTCTTTGTGCTTTGGTGTGAAAATTAGCTCTCACAGGCACTTTCTCTTCTCCATGAGTAAGTGTGTGTGTATGTGAAAATTTACAATGAATTATATTGCACAGCATAAGAATGAAAAGAAGGGAACAATTGGACTGCGCTGAATTAATAAGAATGTTGAAGAGAAGAAATCACAAGTTATGACAAATTGGTTGTCTCAGCACTAAATCAAGCCAGGGATATGCTATTTCATATATTTACTAGTTCAAACTTCTTCCCTATAAAACTGATTTGATTGCTGATAGTTTTTTGACCAATCTTAATTTAAATTGTTACACCAGAGAAATGCAGATTTTGCCTGGGATCTGGCAATGTGACAGTTGAACTTGGTGGGGGTGAGACCGAGGTCTCTAGATGCATAAACTGTGATGGTGTTGGTTCATTGACATGCACAACTTGTCAAGGATCTGGAATTCAACCTCGATACCTTGACCGCAGGTATGGAGTTCTGCGGTCTGATTGCCCCCCCTTTGTAATTTATCAATTGAACAAATTTAGTCATTATGCATACCATCACAAATCAGCACTCATTTTGCCAAAATGATGAGGCTAAAAGGATCAATGCTTTTGAGAAACCTTAATTACTGCATGAAATAAGTTTCTTCAACAAAATCTTAAGCATTGCTGATGTCAGTGTAGCTTCTAGTGAAATCACTAATCAATACTGGCAATAATAAGAAGTGATTCAACATGTAAGAGGCTAAAAGGATCAATGGTTTTGAGAAGCCTTAAGTTACCGCATCAAATAAGATTCTTGAACAAAAACTTAAGCATTGCTTAGATTAGTGTATATTCTAGTAAAACCACTAATCACTTGTGACAATAAATTGATGATAATCATCTTTATAGAATAATGTTCAAGTCGTTAACCACTGTTTTGTGTTTCTTATTAATCAGAGAATTCAAAGATGACGACTGATACAAGCTAAGAATAAGTGGCGCTGATTTTGGATCTAATTATGAGGTTATTGTACTTATTTAATTTCTTTGATATTTGTACACACCAAATACAACTGTGTAAATCATGTTGATGCTTTCATTTGGCCACTCACTTTCGTTGCCTATCTCTGTAAAATTTTGATGTTTTCTAGGCATTGGTTTATTCAATTATTGAATGCCCTGTTGTAAGAATTGGATTTTGTTGGGTATCTGCCCAAGCCAGGACTAAGGAACTATGCCTAAATTACGATCATTGGTGTTATTTCTGTCTCTTGAATTAACTTTTATACTTTAAAGGAGTCATCGTAAATACCTAATATTTACTGCTAGTCACCGGTAATTCAAGCAAAATAAGCCATAAGAGTTATAAGCTCAGTAGTTAAATCATTTTTTTTATCGCTTAAACATGAAGAAATAACGTAAAGAGGCCAGTTTGTAGTTTGTACCTTGAGATCTATATATGAACGGCTATCAAATTAATGCATTGTTTTTGGTTTACTTAAGAACTATATATGAAATAGTTATTTTCTATTGTATAAAAAATGTTATATCTTTTATTTCTTATTGCTATTTAAAAGGTTAAAAATGCAAAAGGAATAAATGAAAACATAAATAAAAAAAAGTAAATGAAATAAGAAAATAAAATAATATTAAAATTAAAATTAGAAAGAAATGTCACGTGACAGATGTAATAGAAAAACTTTAATATCATATATAGATTCTTGGTGTTATCCACTTGGCTTTCCATTAGCTGATACTACTTCTGAACATAAATAGTTGATTGTGTTTATTTATTTATTTATCAGAATGAAGCCAGTGATAAACGGATGTCTTCTGAATTATGCCACTACCCCATTAATTTCAAATAAAATATTTCCGGGAAAAAAATTCTGACAGCTACCTTCGCCGTATCTCTGGAACGCTTTAAAATTTATGAGAATATATTTGAAATAAAATGATTTACCAATTCGAGCTAAAGTGGCTCGATTTATAAATCATAAACATTTTATAAAATAATTCCCAAAGTGGGTTGAATTTGTAAAACACTATCAAAGATTCTTGCCATACTTCACACACGGTCATAGAGTTGACGCCCAATTAAACAAGACATGCTTAATGAAACATCTTATGTTTTAAATCTGCATATGTATTCCGGATCAAACCAAAGGTCCATAAATCACACTTATTTCGGAACTATCACAAAACATGCATATAGAATAATGGTATTTGTGAGCGACAGTCGTAAATTAAATGGTTCATAAAAGTCATATCTGAAGAAATAACTATGGAAGTAAAGTCCAGATGAAATAGCACTTATAAACAACTGAGGCAGGTTGTAAAAGTTGAAACTTAAAACCTTGTTACTTACAGCCAAACAAAAAGGAGGGTATAAAACGAAGTATTTGTGACTAAGTAATTACAGCTGATTTCACAATGTCTTCAATCTATTCTAATGGAAGGGACTTTTATTGCATTTTCCTTGTAACCATGTCAACCGTATCTTGACACTTTTTAAAGAAATGAATGTCTCCCTTAAGCTAGGATTCTCAAAGAGATCAAGGGCAGAAAAGTAGATTTGTTGATCAATGCCTTCTATCTCATCTAAAGCTTTAATGCAGTTTGTTATGGAAAATTTATCATCACTTACACTTGAAACAACTGCCTTTAACCTTGAAACAGCAACCATATCTAACAGGGCTTCTGCCATAGCATTGCAGGTGTCTTGGTCCAGACTAGTAGTTTGCGTCTCATACGACCGTTTCCTTTTCCTATCTAGAGAATTCTTGGTCACCTTCTCAGTAGTTGAGATATTCCCTGCAATAGGTTTCGATGTTGAGGGGTTTTCATAATGTGAAACCTTAGCTTCTGGACATGAAGTAAAGCCAACGGCATCTGTTCCAATAGATTTGTCCAACTCTTCATAATGACTAGATTGGGCATATTTCCCATCAGCGGCTGAATCAATGAATATTGTGCAGAGTTGCTCATATATGGGACAATCTTTCACTTTAACTGTTTCGTGCCTAGGCTGTGCCTGTACAGAAAACCTAACAAAGATCAGATTAAAACTGAAGAAAAGGAAAAGATTGCTGTAATGAAAGAAATTTACCCCTATATCTTCCCACTGTTCAAAACCAATGCAACAGGAATCATCCATTACAAAGTCATTATTTTGATCATAAGCAGATTTCAAATTATAGAAGCGAGTCCGAAGAACGTCTAGATGCTTCCTCAATTGGTTATTATTGAAATTGAGGTCTGTTTGCCTATTAAACTCATCACGAATGTGATTCCATGTTTTCTTGTCAAAAACATTGTTTGGTCTGTTCCCCAGTTGAATCTGCTTGACAACCAAGTCTGCAAATATCTTGTCTAGGGATGCTGTCCATCTTGTCCTTGAACGCTCTTGCTTGGGTTGATTGCTGGCTTCAAGTTCCATCTACACCTGTACAAATGCTTATAACTCAATAATTTACTCAATAATATTCTAATACAAGCATCACTGATTCCACTAAAATTAAAGAAAAAACATAAGGGATTCTTGGCTCATAAGCTTAAACATACCCAACACAAGTAACAGATCAACAATTTCATTATTACAAAAGTAAATAAAACAAAAGTGTCACAACTATCCAGCAGGGCACCATGACAAGAGAGGCAACAAAAGTAAATAAAACGAAAGTTTCCAACAAATTTTATTAAAAAAAAAAGGGAAATCTCTGTTTCTTTAAAGGAAAATAGCAAAGACTAAGTCCGCCAGGGAGGACTTAAGAGTCTCACTATGTAGGAAAGGGGAGGACTTAAATCCTGCTAGCATCACTAGAGCATCAGTTTAATAATGGTTACACTAAAGCTAATTGAGCAAGAAAAGGGAGACAGAAAAAGGCCTCATTTCACATAATTTTGTTCTTTTTTCCTTTTCCCTTTCATCTAGCATGTATGTTTCTCAAACCCACATTCATTTGATGAAAGCTACAATTTGTTGCTTCTCCGTAAACAGAGCATTGGAATGTGAGCCTGTGGATAATAACGTGTAACCAAACATGCTATGAATGAAGAGAAAAAGGACAGAAAATGACAAACATCACAAACAAAGAAAGACCTCCAACGTCTGACATGTAATTAGAAATAATTTATAAGAATTCAAAAATCAACAGCATAGATAAACCAATAAATATTAAACCCAGGGGGAAAGGAACCATTCCAATACCACACAATTATCAACTAAACTCGTGTTGGCATCCTCCTTTACAAGAAGGAAAGCCAATCACTCTGCATTTCAAGGCTCAAGCTCAGAAAAACAACGCGGATAACTACTTAACTAGCGTCTCACTAAAGTTACAAAATAAAAAATTTAGCATATACAAGATTGTCAATCTTGAAAGTTTACGTAATCTCGTTGAGATCCCATAAACTCAAATCATAAACTCGTAAAAATTTACTTAATATAAAAAATATGCTATAATACTTATAAATAACATAATAACCCAACATTTCAATTCCATATTAAAGTAAAATAGCAAATTACAATAATAAAGTAACAATGTTTAGTAGTAAATCATGCAAAATTTTACAAAAGAAACAAGTTCTTAAAATAACAAATAAAAAACTAAAAAAATACCGATTTTTGCTTTTAGAAATAGAGGAGGTGAGATTGCTCAAGATTGGACGAAATTGCACGAGATTGCTCGAGATTACTCCAAAACGAGTTTACTTTCGAATTGTACAGGTGGGACCGACCAATCTCGTAAACTCGATAGTTATTACAAGTTATCACTTGAGATTGATAACCATGAGCATACATGTAATTGAAGCAATATCTGCCTTAATCGAGGGAAATAAAAAGGAAAATGTATTATATTCACAAATACCGAAGTCCCGGATTCAGTTAAATTTTCATCACAGAACCACATAAGAATGGAAATCACTTATTTGTGGCATATGACCAACAAGAGACTTGTGTGGATCTATGTAGAGCCAATGCAGAGTTGCAGACAACAATTCTCCCATTGCCTGGGTTCATGGATCCTAGGTCAATGCAAGAATCCTAATATGGCTATAGATACTCGGATATAAAAAAATATTGTCAGACAGTCATGTGTTATTCTACTAATCTATTCTATGCCAGGCATGTTAAGAAAATTATATAATTTCTTTTTACAGGAAGAAAGGGATAAAAGATGGGTACATAACAAACACAACAAAAGTTTGCTAATTTTCACCTTGAATTGACTTCCGATCCAAACAATGCGATTGCTGTATGCACATGACACAAACTGAACCCCTCTGCAGTAACAAAAGGAAAATGTAAATAACAACACCAAAAATTGAATCAAAACAAATATTTTATCCGGATTCCCAACGTCTCAAGTCAAAACACAAAATAAAAAAATTGAATAAAATTTTACAGAAATCCCATGAAAAATTGCAAAGCTAAAAGCAATCCAAAATACAACTATGAGTGAACAGCACTGCATGCAAACAGAACACAAACAAGGTCGACATTGGCAACAACTAAGAATAGGTTAATTCAAGGCCGTGGACAGTGATCAAGTAAAATGGCAATGCGTTTCAACAAAATTGCCGATACTCACGTTAGTAAAAGGGGTGAAAATGGCATTAAAAATAAAACCCTAAAAATCGATAAAAATTAAAACCCTAAGAGAGTGAAAAATTTGATGAAGGGGCAATGGGAATCGATTATTGTATACGCATATATCGGAATGGTTACAGTTGTACCTCACCGGCGAATTGAAATTTCGTAAGCGAGAGAGAATTAAAATGCTGAATCCTCTTTCCCAATTCAACTCTCTATTCTACGCACACACAAAATCGAACTCAATCGAATCGCCGAACAGAGTGCATTTTCCATTTTCGTTTTTATTTAATTAATTTTTCAAAACAGGAATGGAATATTAATAATTTGTAAAATGTGGAAGGAAACGTGTCACTATGCCATTGGTTGATTTCATCTATCGTGAGTCGTTTTGTACCTATGTAAGTACTAATAACAAATTATTGTCTTCTTTTGATTTTTTTTCTTCTTTTAGTAAATTATATCTTGGTGATATGATATGATGTATATATATATATTAAGCAGTTTATTAATATTTATTATTTTTTATTAGAGTTGTAGCAGCCTATTAATACTTATTATTTTCTATTAGAGTTGTCAAATGAAAAATATTTGTGGAAAAAAGTCAAATTTTTTTAAAATAGTTTCTAGTATCTTGTGAGATTAGTTTTTAGTAGAATTGTCAAACTTGTCCCATTAGCTTGATCCATTGATATGTTAGGCTCTCTATATTTTAAATTTGAAAAATATCAAGTTAATTTAGCATAATTTGAAGAGTCAATCGAACTAGTAAGTATTAGGTTTGAAAGGTATCATGCCTATATTGGTCCAAAGATTTTTATCCTTGTAAAATTATTATAAAAAAATTGGTCCAATTTGACATAACGAGCTAGACCACATGAGAGAACATGGCTTGTGTAAAAGTTGGATGGACCCGACTCATTTTTCATACTTGATCTGTTAGATTAAGTTAATACGATTGACAACTTTCATCTTTAACTTTCGTTTAAGTGATGCATTGACTTATCAAAAAGAGTTGTCAAATAAGTCAATCTAATTTGACCTGTGCAAGCCAATACTTATATGTGGTTTAGCCCAACTCAATTTTCTAATGGGTCACTTATTTTGTGACCTAAAGTAGTTTGTTGGCCCATTGTGTCAAGCCAAATTGTCCCATTTTATTTAAATTTACAAAAAAAAAAATACCAAGCATCTTGAAAACTAATGGCCTAATTAGCCCTTCAAGCTTGATTAAATTACCCAATCTTTAATTATGTATATTATTGAGATGAAACTCAGATTTTGATTGGAGATAAACACCAATAGTAATAAAGTTATTGTACCTATATTTTGGGATGTTATAAATACATGATTGTTTCTCCTATTAAAGGAACAAAAACTTGACCAATAACATAATTCATACTCCAAAAGTCAAAACTAATTGATTGTAGCACACAATTGCAAAGTATTCCATATCCTTTCGTTAAATTGATAAGGAGTCTCAAGTGAAAATCATCGCTTCAAGACTAACTTGACGCGCTCTGAGCGGGACAAATTCGCTTAAAGGACTCAATAATTTGCTCAAAGCAAGCTAAGTTACAGACTACACATGAGAAATCAAGTTAGCTCGCTTAATCGAGTAGAATGCTTATTTTGAGCGAGTGAAATTCGCTCAAAACAACCAAACCCTAACTTGAAGCAGGCCAAGATGGAGAGCCAACCCTGAAGATGGTACTATCTTGCTTAAAGTGAGCAAATTGCTCATTTTGAGCGAGTGAAATTTACTTAGAGCCACCATAAGAGCGCTTTAAGTGGGTCAAGACAGAAAACAAACCTGAAGGATAACATAAGTTCACTTAAAGTGAACTACATGGGTACTTTGAGTAAGCATATGCAAAAAAATCTCATTACAAAATGTTATAAAATAAGGTTCTTAGGAGGTTTCTATATTATACTTTCTATGAGCATAATTTTAGTGAGATTAAAGAGTTTTTGTGAGGTCATTCTTGTAAGCATACATCACTCAGAGCCTCTCTTCTATTGTGTAATCCTTAGTCATGAGTAGTTAAGTCTTTACTATTGGAAATTGAGGTAGCTATCATACCTATGTAATTTCTCTGTGTTTTTCATTCAATAAAAATATTTATTCAATTAATCATTTTTACCTTATGATTAATGTTTGTTGTAGCCTTATCAACTTATATATGCATGATTTTATAATTTTTAATCATGGTTGAAAATCCTTTTAAAATTACGACCTAAGTGAAACACCGATAACATTTATTATTAGGGTTAAGATAAACTTTATTGGTTGATTTTTGGTCCCTTACATTAATGCAGGCTGTCAAAGAAAAATTACTAAGGAATTTGAATTTTCCTTAAACAACCTAGAATTTCTCACTTAAGGAATTAAGGTTTAAATATAATTACAGGTTGTTGAGTTCACTATTGAATTTCAATATTGAACGAAAAATTAACAGGATTTGCATCAGAAAAGTTAGTGAATCAATTTCTAATTGTTCTCATTATATCAATTCAAACATCTTTATAATTTACATTTTTTTTTACTTCCATAATTTATTTATTTTTTGCATTTTTTGTTGTAAAATTCTTACTTTTAATTAATTCATCTGTTTAGTACCACTATTTAGTTAACTAATTATAACTCAAGTCCTTATGAATTTGATTACTTGGATTTTTATCTAATTTACTACTTATGACAATTGGTATACTTGTCAAGCATATCATTTGCACATGTACCTAACCTCATGCATACAATTGATGCCAACTCCAACACCATCCAATTAAATTAAAAAAAAAAAAACATGAGTGTTGTTTTTGTGTTTTTTTTATAAAAAGCCATGTTGATTTTAGGTGAATGCAAATGGCATACATTTAAGAGTAAACATTTCTTGTATTTTTTCAAGATTGCACCTACTACTTTTTTATTTGTTGAACCTACAATAATATCCCTTAAAAGTTGAAAAGATGTTGCATTGTCCCTTTGACGCACAAACAATGTCACATTTGTTAACATATTAATGTCATGTGACATGCACATGATTTTTAATGAATTTTTTCTTTCCAAAAAAGTTCCTCACCTTCTCCATCAAAACCAATGACATTTGAAACAAGTGTAACTTCAAGAAAGTTTACACTTTTGGATTTCCAAACTAAGAAAAAAAATGGCTGAAATTTTGAAATCAATGATCTCAAAAGCTTGACTAGTTGTCGGTTTAGGGTTTATGATGTGTTTGGATGAGGAATTTATATAGGGTAATTCATTTATTTGAAGAATTTCAAATTTCTTGAGGTGAAATGCTTTCTTTGGATGAGGAATTTACAAAAAATTTGAAATCCAAACATTTGTGAAATTCCTTAAAATAGTAAAATTTCAAATTCTCCCAAAAATGAAAGAATTTAAAATTTCTCATATTTGTTTTTCTTATTTCACCTATATATTTTATCTTATTTCTTCATTCTTTTAATTATTCGATATTCAAAAATATTTTTAAAATTATTAAATATTATCTTATATTAATTTTTAAAATTATTAAATATTTAAAAATGGATTAATATTTATTTTTATAAAATTTAATTTAAAAATCTAAACATATAAATATATTTTTAAAATCAATTTTACTATGATGGAATCAAATTATCATATTCAACCTAACAATTTAAAATTTAAGAAATTTAAATTGACTCATCCAAACAAAATATTTTAAGAATGATAGAAATTGAAATCAAAGTAATTCAAATACCAAGAATTTAAAATTCCTTGAATTTGTAAAATTCCTCATCCAAACACACTATTAGGGTTTTAGTGGGTTTTCACTTGCACCCCCTAGTTGGCTAATTGTCAATGACCACTCACTAATTTTTTTAAGGGGTCTTAATATAGATCCAAATAACGGAGAGGTGTTGAGTGCAATCTAGAAAAAACACAGGGGGTAAGAATGTAACATCTTTTCAACTTTTAAGTGATCTCATTATAAATCCAAATAATGGAGGAATATTGGATGTAATATCGAAAAAACATAGGGCTACAAGTGTAACATTTTTTTCAACTTTTAAAGAGGCTTATTGTAGGTTCAAATATCGGAGGACTATTGGATGTAATGTTGAAAAAAATAGGGGCTGCGAGTGTAATTTTCTTTACATTCAAACAAGTATTTAGATTGAACAATGCTAATCTCCATCGTCACCATTACCTATGTCCAATTCATTGCCCAACCATGCAAAAATTGTTCATACATTATTCCAAAGACCCATATTCCACTCTATTATGCATTCTTCTTAAAAATCACGTTCCACTCTATTATGTGTTTTTATGGAAACACAAGGAGGAAAGATTTAGATGAACATGAAATTGTTGAATGTATAGGGCCAAAAGAGCAATTCCGACAGGAGAAAATGAATACGAATTGTTTGTGGCTATTAAGGAATGGGGAATTGGGAGAGAGGAGAGTAGGGGGCATTAAGAGAGAGAAACCATTTTTTAAAATATTTTTTAAATATAAAATATTAAACATAGTAATACCCCTAAATGATCTCAATAGAACAAATGTTGTGGGTAAGTTTTTGGTCATAAATTTTTTGTATAGGCTATTAACATACTTTAACTAAAAAAATATTGTAAGTATGCTAGCAATTATATACATATATATAAGGAGAGATCCGTTTACTCCAAAAATAAATTTATCTAGACTTACTTCGTTGAATAACTCATGTTTTACATCAAATATCAACGATCTAACTATTGAAATTAAAATTCTTAATATACAGATCAAATCTGCAAATTTTTTAAAAATTTAAAAATCATTTAATACTTCATTTTATCAATTTAAACTAACATACACATTAATATATAATAAAAGAAACTAAAAGAAAATATCAATATTTTCATCGTACCAAAAAATAAAATATGTGAACAATGTACATATAAAAATAAAAGAAAAAAGAATAATCCCTTTATTTTTCTTCCATTAAACTTTTAAAACTAAATGAAATAAAGTTAAAAATAATTTCCTTTCTTCTCACCTTTTTATATTTCTTCCTTCAAATCAATGAAAAAGGTACGTGAGTGATTCAAAAACATAAGATATTTCACTTTCTAGTAAAGTGTCACTAGAATAATTGTGTTGAATTTTGTGTAAAATTTGCATGGAGGTCCCATATTCTTGAATTTTGGTGGGTTCATGAACTCATGGTGCACGTGTGGATTTCTATTTCTACTCCCTGATGGCTATACATTTTCAAAGGTCGACTAATGTTTTTGACAAGAAATTGATGTGTAATTAATGGGAGAAGATT